TGCAAATGATTGGGTCTGACAACAAAAAAGCAAGGAAGATAACAAACAAACTAGTCCCTGTAAAATTTTCTATCTTGAAAATTATCAAATTTTGATTCCCACATATTTTTGAGATTTTTTTCACATTTTTCTAAGAAAAGCTTGAGAGAATTGGAATGTCAAATTTTGCATATTTTAATTCATAGAAAACTGACTTATTTTAAGTTAATTTAAACCGTCCAGTCAATTGTTCTAGATTTATCATTTTCTTTGATTTTTTTTTAAATAGAAATAGGTATAAGCTGTTTAAGTTAAATGTGTGACCATGGTTAAGCAGACAGTCAATCTAAATCGGCTAGCCAAAATTCAAACTATTATTCATAGTCGAATATAATGGCTAGTATTCAAATATAACGTAGTTCAAGTTTTTTTTGAATAAAAAAAGAACAATTTTGCTCAAAAAAGAAAATAAAAAAAGAACAAGCCTCTAAATGATTTCAAAAACACTCTAGACTTTTTAGACCAAGTCATTCAGGTTATGTCAGAAATACCTAGTTTCATCGAATACTTAAGTAATCGAGAGCTCACAAGTATGTTTCAAGCGAAAGACTGAAAGCAAGCAATTTCAAGCTTCGATCTAGTAGGCACAAATTTGATTCTCTAAGATGCGTTTAATTTTTAATAGAATGAAAGAGACGTTTTTTTAACAAAGAAAAAAGTGAATCTGACACAAGAGTATGTATTTATACAACTTAGGGGGAAAAAGTGATGGCCCAAAATATCTTACAGCAATGGAGAAAATAATAGAAAAATTTGCCAAAGATCTAACATAAACAACTAAATATTCAAATTAAACCCATAAAGTAAGGGCTAATAAAGGTGCACTGATCACCCTAAATAACGGTGGCATAATATCACTCTTAAGCATTAATAACAATCGTGCAATGTTACCTTTTCATTAATAGATTGTCGATTTGACCAATTGTGAATGGGGAAAATTACATATAAGATCCTAAAAATTACAAATATTTTTTTTTAAATCTCAAAATTAAAACTAAATGTCAAGTCACCAATATTATTTCTTATCATTGTAATTACATCAAAATACAACTTTAATCACTAATATAGATGACTGAAGTTCTACCTTCGTTTATCACTTAAGTTGAGCAAAAGTAAAACAAATTGAATCAAAGATTCAACGAAGGTAAGCAACAAATGAGGAAACAAGTCTTAGCTATGGTTAATATTGATAGTAATTATAGTACTCTTTATTTTTTATTTTTGCTACAATTAAATCTTGGTTAATCACTAAGCACTTGTGGCTTTAAGTACTGAATCCTAAGAAGTTTGAATTGTGTTGCGGATTGGCCGTTTGTGAAACAGGGAAATGGAGGTGCTCTTTGGATTGGGTTTGTCTGTCCCATCATGGTGACTTCAAATTCAAACTTTTGTTATCATATAAAGAAGTTTAAACAAGATTTATATAACTGATTATTACAATAAACACATAAAAAATCTCAACACTCCAGATGATGTGTATGAAATTGAATATTAAGAAGAATATGAAATATTGTTCCAATCCACCTTTATGAGATAGATAATGATTAGAGGTTTTAGCTATATCATATATGAGATTCTTGTAATTATTTTGTATTGTAAATTATTAGTTTTCAATAAAAAATTTCAAAATTTCCACAATAACTGTTTAAAAAATTATATGGTTAAAATTAATTTTTTAATTAGAATACTTTCTTATGATAATTGAGAAATTGTAGATAAATTTGTTTTTAAGCAAAGAGGGGGAAACATTTAGCCATTTTGGGAGAAGATAACAATTTAGTCATTTATTTATTAATTTTTGAAAAAGATATGGATAAAATAAAAGTAAAAGATATATAACTAAGATAATATAATACATATTTATAAATAAATTATATACTTAATTATCTTCATTTAAAAAATAAAATTAAAAGTTAAAAAATTGATTTAAAATTTTATTAGAAAATTATTTAATATTTAAAATTTAACATTTCTTCCATCAAATATATAATATAAACTAGTCATGCAAAGCATTTTATCATATTAATAAAATAAAATATAATATCTTTTGTTTCGGATATGGCTAAAACATAAGGCAGGGTCCTGTAAAATTTTTAAACTGCAATTGCAAGTACCTCAGTGATGGCATATTTAGACAGCTTGGCAAAGTGCCTTGGAATCTGTTTTACGAAAGGTCCAGGTATGTAAGTTGGACCAAATTGCAAAAGGTTGCTTGCTTTCTTTCTCTCTTGCTTTGTCTTTTTTTTTTTTTTGAGAAAAATATTACTGGACCTGAACCTGCCATATAATTTTGGAACAAAATGAGGAAACTCAAAGGCTTTGAGTTTCCAATCCAGCCAGACATTTCACTATAGAGTTGGTTGGAACTTAAATCCAACCTTACTTAATTACGAAATCTTAATATTCAAGAAAAAAATTTTAATCCATTACATTTCATTCATTTTATAATCGCTTCCAAACAATGGTTATATAAGACTGTTTTTTCCCCTTATAAAACTTCTAAATAATAAAAAATTATATTCCATTCCACTCCATCCCACTCCATTCCGTTCAATTTCATAAATGACTGTTCCTTTTCATCCAATACTAAACTTCCAAACACGTTATTAATGATGCCATTTGACATTTTTGAGGTTTGTCACTAAAAATAAACTTTTAGCAGCATCGCTATCAAAAAGTATACATACTTTCAATGAAGACAAACATGGTCAATCCAAAAAACTGTTAGTAGCCAAGCTTGGAGTTTGCCAACTTTTTTGTGTTTTTTAGTGATTTGACACACATTTTACATCAAAAACAGATGAAGCCATAAAATGCCAAAAGACAAGCGCCCAACGCGGAACGAAACCCTGATTTGAATTTGTTCACCATATTCTTCGCCTTGCATTTATAATCTGTTGATTTTAATTTTATTTGGATTTAGAATTAGAATTTGATTTGCTGAAACAGTTTACAATGGGAAGTGAGGAAAGGAAAAGTTATCTTCATCGATGAATCTGTCTTTACACACATACAAGACAAGATCAAACTAATAACCATATGTCTAACTAAATAAGTTAAGGTAACTAATGCTAGTTAACTACAACTAGAATAGTTAACAATTATGTTACTACCTGCAAGCTGGTGCCTGGAAATCAAGCAAACCCAGCTCGGAAACTTCAGTACAAAAAGAAGAAAGGTGTAAAGCTTTAGTAAAAACATCTGCAACTTTATTCCAAGTTCGAATGGTAAGTAAATGAACTCTGGCATGAACTTTCTTACTAACAATATGGCAATCAATTTCAATATGTTTGGTGTGTTCATGAAAAACTGGATTGGTTGCAATGTGCAATAGATTGGTTCCATGTCAATTGTTATCTATCTAATAAAAATATAACATTCAGATTGCATTAAATATCAATTGATTGTAACGTTAATGATAGAATAAGGGAAAGTGCAAGAACTTAAATATACATTATGTTATAAGAATAAAATCATTAAAATAATATCACATAAGATTTTATTTAGATAATTTAGAGCATTCTAATTGGACAGGCCAAGAATGACGTGATGCACCCGGTCTATGTAAGAATTTCTCGACTCTAAAGAAGAAGATTGAGAAACAATATTTTGTCTAGTTTTAGAATTAGAGTTTGATTTGCATTTCTAATTTTTGACAATTTATTGAAAATCCATGAAATTTTGAGATTTGAAGATTTGATTTTTAGCACATGAATTGCGTTAATGGGATTGAAATCCAAACGTGATCGATGGGAAGAAGAACGTACGTAGAATATTTTTAATTTTGTTTATTTATTAATTTATAATTTATGCTGCAAAATCAACATACGTGTACGCTAAATTAACAGATTATGTGCATAAGGATCAATAGTTAAAATTAAAGAAACTGTAAGGATCCAATGAAAGGGAACAAACTACAAGGACCTGCTTAAAAATTAGGTAAAACTATAAGGACTAATGAATTAATTTTCTCAATCTAAATGTTTCATAAAAGGTTCTTCCTATTTTTCTTTGGGGTTAATTTGCTTAAATTATGGTGACTTCATGTATATTTTGTGTAAAATAGAGAAAATTGAGCGAGGTAAGTAAATTAAATAAATAAACGATTTATATCAATATAAAAATATTAAATAACAGACTACAAAGTTGATCTTGATTGGCTTGCTAAACAATTAGATATTTACTTTACATCTTCAACGTCCAAAAAATTGTTCCAAGTCAAGTGAAAACTGAGAAGAAACACGCTCTCTCTCTCCCCTCTCCTTTTTAAAAGGCACTTAGAGAGAAAATTCTTGGTCATTAATGCAAAGCATCTTATAGAATATTTATTATATTTTTCTTATATTGCACTTATTAACTGTTGTTCTTTTACTAAAGCTACATCGTGTGTGTGAGAGAGAGGTTAAATTGGGTAAAATTGAAAACTTTTTCCATTTTTAGACAGTTAATACATTTTAAACATCTATTCGATTTCGGTGATAATGCTTGTAAACAAAATCAAATGCAGTGTCATCACGTAGTCACGTGTGATATTATTCTACATGAATCTTGAAATTATCCAATTTATTATAGTAACAAATTATTGCTTCCCTCCTGTCTTAAGTCACTTATAACTATAACTCACAAGAACCAAGAAAAATTAGTTACATCATTAAAATTGTTTAAAAATTATTTTGATTTTCATTTTCACGCCTATTAAGTACCATAATTTTTAAAAATAAAATAGTTTCCGAAATTAAGAAGAATGGCATATAAGTAATAAAGCAATTAATGCTACATAAATTTTTGCATTATATGAGCGCAAATAAATTCTATTAAACGTAGAGTGCGGCTAATAATGGGCTTTATATTTCATTATAATTTCCATTCTGATCATGGAAGGACTTAGAATTAGCCATCTTCTATCATTGTAAATTTGTAACACTATAGAGTTCACCATCAATTACGCGATCAAAAACTCATTAACTAAAGGTTTTCCATCTTAATTCAACCCACGCAAATAACTTGTACATACTTTTTCATTTCATTTGCAATTAATTGTAAAAGTAAGAGTTGAAATACATAAAGCTAATTACACCTAGAAAAAAAACCACAAATGCACCGGTAAAACTCCATTTGAAAGCATCTCGGAAGTCATCTTTAGCTGAATGATGTAGCTGTATTTGTCTCCCTACTGGTTCATCAAGAGACGAACAACTGTACTGTAGAGGTGGGCCACAAAGAAAAGGATTCCCTTCATAAGAACTTTGATCAAAAGTTGCAAATTGGTTTTTCATGTCAGGCACCATACCAGATAGATTATTGTGAGCCACAGAAAAGACAGACAAAGAGTACAACTGTGTAAGTTGAGAAGGAATATGACCCATCAATTTGTTGTAAGAAAGATCTAAACTTTCAATCTCTTTAAGGTCAGAAAACGTGTCTGGAATAGACCCAGTCAAATAGTTGTTTGACAAATTTAATGTATGAATAGCATTCAGGTATCCAATTTGTGAAGGGATTTTACCTGTCAACTGATTGTCCGAGAGATCTAGGCCAGACATGAAATCTAATATATTTCCTTCATATGATTCGTACCTGCTTTTTGACATGAAGTTCACCACTATTTCCTCATACCATGAAAACTTTTTTTCATATTCACCTTGGAAAAGCTCGCCACTTGTATGATTTATGTCAAATAACGGGCCTCTTGTAGCCCAAGGGACAACAAATTTTCCTATTTTGGCTCCTCTCATCACATCCTGCTTTCTAAATGTGATCTTATTCAAGCAATGTGGTATCCCTCCGGAAAGCATGTTTTGTGAAAGATCCAGTATGCTTATGTTCTTGAGGCTGCACATATCCATAGGAATGGAACCATCAAGCTTGTTTCCTTTTAGGAGAAGGACTCTTAAATTCAACATCAGCTTTAACCACCCGGGAATTTGACTTGAAAATATGTTCTTTGCCAAATCCAAAGTTAATAGCATGGGAGATTTGGCGAAAATAGAAGGAATGGGTCCTGTAAAATTATTGCCCCGCAAATGCAAGTACCTCAGTGATGGCATATTCAGACAGCTTGGTAAAGTGCCATTGAATCTGTTTTGTGAAAGGTCTAGGTATGTAAGTTCAACCAAATTGCAAAAGCTTTCTGGTACTAGACCTGACATGGAATTTTGGGACAAAATGAGGTAACTCAAATGCTTAAAGTTTCCAATCCATGTAGGCATTCCACCATAGAGTTGGTTGGAACTTAAATCCAGCATTCTTAATTCTAAACTCTTAATGATCCCATCTGATACGTTTCCTTTAAAGTTGTTGTTGCTTAGATCCACAGACAATAAATGTGTGAAGTTTGAACCAACGGGTAAACATGGGCCAGTTAAGTTGTTGTTTGACAACTTTAGAAACCTCATGTCGTTGCTGCCCTTCCCAAATTCTTTGGGTATATATCCAGACATATTGTTACTGGATAAGTCTAGTGAGTTCAGCTGCCTAATGTCACCGAGTGAAGCTGGAAATCCACCTTGTAAGGAACTCGAAGACATGTTCAAAGAAAGCAAGTTAGGAAAAATAGAGCCAATATGAGGAGGGATTTCATCATTAATAGGGTTAGAGGAAGCATCAAAATATTGCATGTCAAGTAATTTTGTGGTGGAGTTGAGCTCAAAGGGACCAGTCAAGAAGTTGTGGCCGACATTAAAAGAATCTAACTTGGTGTTGTTTGTCAAAAGCCAATGTGGGAAACTTGCTGAAAAGTTCAAATAAGTAAGTTGCAGAAGTCTCAAGTCATATTGATGAAGAAGAAAGGAGGGTATTACGCCATTGCTTGCTTCATTCATATTGCATTTGACTACGCTGAAAATCTTTAATTGGAAAGAAGGGAAAAAGGGGGGATTTTCAGTTTCAAGCTTGAGATTGGGGTTATTAGAGCACGAAATTGAGAAGAGTTGAAGGTTGGAGTGGTTGGCCAACAAAGAAATCGATGCTATGCCAGTGAAATAGTTTTCTTCAAATGAAATGAATCTGAGGGACTTTAGAGAATGAATGAGTGAGGAAGGGAAGTTTCCTTCAAAACCATTGAACTGAAGATCAAGTTGACGGAGGGATGTCAAGTTACCAAGGCATGAAGGAAGGAGTCCTTCAAACTTGTTGGGACCAAGAGACAATAGTTTCAGATTTTTCAGATTGCATAAGCCTCCTGCAACATATAAATTTCTTTTATTAAATTCATTTAATTGGTTTATGAGTCTTTAAATGAAACAAATAAAAAAAATTAAGCAATAGGTTAAACTTTGTGATTAGCACCTTTCTTAAGAATATAGTGGCTATGATGCACGGATACAGCATTGGATATACATATCCGATACTTTGATACTTTCATTTTTAAAAATATAATATACGATACATTTTTGATATGTGTATATGTATATATATATAAAATAAAAATTAAAAATATAATTTTAATTTAGAAACTATCAAAAATAAATATTTGAGCAAAACAAGATACTCGATTATAAGCCTGAAAATAAATATGATCTAGTCAGGCGTACTTAAATATGCAGAAAATTTATTTCCAAATGAGCTTAATAAATAGATAGAGAATACATAGTGAACAATGAGGAAAGAGAAATGTTTATTAAACATATTTCATAAGAAAATTTAGAGAGCAATAGAGTTTTATGCATTAAAATAATTGTAGTTAGCTATTAGCCTATCTATGAATAATCAAATACATACTCAGTGTCAATGAACCTATTAATCCTTACCAATAACAATTGATTTCTATATTTGACTCAAATTTATATTAGAACTTTCATTTGACAAACATATGAGAGATTATAAATTAAATACCTTGCCGTGGCAGTGAGCCCTTCAGGCTATTGTTAAAGAGGGACAAGGCCCACAAGGAGGAATTGAAAGAGAACGCCGAAGTCTTCGAATTGTGGGAGGAAAGAGAAATATCTGTCAAGTATGAAATATAAATATTGAAAATAAAAAATTAAACAAATGTATATAAAATTATTATTAAAATATTAAATTATAAAAAATGTAAAAAAAAAAGTCAAGCTGTTAAAATTTTAATATGAACAATTAAAAAATACAGTAAGAACAAAATAAAATAAAATAATTTATAAAATTTCAAATTTTTTGAACCACCCAAATTTTGATCTAATGGTTAGAAATTAGGAAGAGAAAGAGAAGTGAATGAAAAGAGAAGAGGAAAGAATCCTCTCCCATCTTTTCCTCTCCTTTCCTAATTTCCATATGCCATATATATATATATATATATATTCCTTTTTCATTCCATTCTCTTATTTAAAACCTATTCTACCCTAGACATATTGTTCCTGCTATCACTTAATTTATATATAGATGTCAAGATTATAAATAGATGTCAAGATTCAAAATTCAAGTTATTAAATGATTCAATAACAATCTCTATGATCTTTTCCTTCAGTACCGTTACCATCACATATCTATAGTACAAACACCCTCTCATTCAACTCTCGATATTCTCAAATTTTTTCTAAACATCAATTGATTTAAAAAAAAAACCAAGGAGCCAAGAAAATAAATAAAGTACGGTATCAAAAAGAAGTTGATAAATAATAATAATTAAGAACCAAGGAATGGGATTTCCGTAAGCATGTTTTCTTCTAGATACAACGATTGCAAGTTGTCCAATCTAATTTCGCCAAATAGCCCTGCTCCAATAACAACAAAAATATCAGCAGTTACTCTTAATGTTATTGCTGGTAAATCAAACAACGTACAAGTTTGAACTGAGATGAATAAAGAGAAGAATCAAATAGGAGAGAGTCTAATTCAAATTCAGTTTTCTGACTTGATGATATAGCATCAGGGTTTCAGAAATTGAAAAATAAAAGATCTAGTTTGCGTGACATATTGTGTGGGTCTTTGTTCTAAATATATATATGTATGAACATGAATAACAAATTAATCATGAAATACAGTTAGAGAGTGGAGATCAGAGAGACAGACCTGACAAGTAATTCCCAGACAAATCCAAAGCTTCAAGTTGATGGAAAGGGAGAAAATAAGAAACATTCAATGACCACGTGATGTGTTCCAACTCTTGAGCTCTTATATGGCTCAGAAGAAGGCTTATCACTCTCCGAGTAGAGTTGTCACAGCTGATTCCCTGCCAGCTACAACAATCAGAACTGGTAAGGTTATTCCAAGAAGGAAGAGACGAGCCGTTTGGATAATTGAAAGCTTCTTTCAGTTTGAGAAGAGCTTCTCTCTCTTCTTCCAAACACGCCTTGCTTCCATCTTTGAGTCCTAGTAATGTAATAATCGCCACCACCCACCAATACACTTGTTCTCGTACTGAATATCCCATTCTGTAATCTCTCGCCATTTCTTCAACTGCGCACTCTCATTCTATATAGCCTGTGAGGATTAAGATTATGGGTGTTCATGAGATCACGACAACCCTATCTCATGTCCCGTCCTAAAAAAAAATATGAGACTGATTTTTTTCCCGTATCCTATCTCGCGCTGAATATAATTTTATCCCATATCATTTTCCTTTTTTTGAGCTAGGATAGGTCCATCCCAACATGATTGGGATGAAATTGGCCAACGGGGACCAAGACAAGCATGAACACCCCTAACTATGCTCCACATCTATAATGGTCCCCTTGAAATTAAAGAAACTTGAAACGACCGGCATGTACATTGATATTGACATTTTTGCTATGACTGAGTCGTTCATATTTTTGTATTTTTGGAATGAAGAATGTATCATATAAATTTCAAAAGAATATGTACACGAGAATACAAAAACTATATTTTAAGAGGGAGTGGATGATCAAAGACTCAACGGCGTCCATACTATTTAGCCCTAAACTATTAATGAGGTTCCTAAGCATTTTATTGCGATCTTTGGAGAGTCGTTCATAAATTTGATAAGTGACGTTTCACTTTTTCTATTGTACTTGAAAAATTTCTGCTTGTAAAATGTAAAAGTATCTTCTATTAATTATAAAAGAAGTACATCTTTTGATAAAAAATAAAAGCAGCACATATTGATTACCTATTGGGTTGTCTGTGTGTCTGGTGTAAAGCACGGCTCAAGGCAAAAGTCAAGTGGGTCCGTGACGAAGTGACATGAGGTTAGAAAAAATAAGTTGGGTGGATAAGGTGTTATAGGAGTGAGATTAAGCATGGGCCAAACATGACTGTGAAAGACTAAGAGTGGTGTGGAAAAGTCAAGGTGAGATTTTGTAAATTATTGTTTGAGTGAGATGTTGGAAGCAAATATGAAAATTTGGTATAAGTCATGTTTAAAAATACTGTTTTTAAGAGTTATTTTGCTGCAATGGTTGAGTGCAACAACTTCCAAAAAAATAAATGAACCCTTCCTACAAAATAGGGAGCAAAATAGGGATACACCTTACACCATGATTTTGAATCGGAAGAGAGATTTCAAGAAATGACAAATTTATTTACTCTATCAATAACTGAGCCGACTCTGCTGTATCATTAGGGATTTGCCTTTCTTATTGAATTCTCTAGATTGGATCAAAAAACAATTCTTGAATGAGGTATTCAACTCCAAGGATGTGGATTCTAACAATATTTTTGGTTCTCTATTTCTATTTAAAAGAATCTCTAGGAAAAACATTTTTTTTCATCGAGCTAAAAAAATATATCAATATCTCTAGTAAACTAAAGTAATGTTTAATAGCTACTTCACTTCAATCTCTCCTATACAAATAAAAAATTGAAAGATTTAGTTATGATAAACAAAAAACAAAAAAAAAACATAGAAGGAAGCAGAACAAAGGAAGGGAAAAGAAGAGAATGCATGAAAGCTTGAAGGCCATGGATCAAACAACGACATTGGTAATGAATTAAGCACCTTAATGACGATTAAAATTTGGTTTCCAAACATTACACTACAATATTTATAGCCTATGCCAACAATTTACTTTGGAACAAATAAAAAAAGGTTGCCTATAATAAAAATTGGTAACAGTTTTTTTGCAGTAATTTTTGACTACCACTTTGCGCAACATATTCCAAGTAACATGAGAAAATTGTTGCCATTGTAGAAAAGGTATAACAATTTTATATATGTTACTAATTTTGTCGTCAGTCGCTATCCGTTCGTGAGTTCTTTCAAGTGTTTGAGGGTTATTGCTGGTTCGAGGTCCATCGCTTGTTCTTCAGAGCTTTCAATTGTGTTCGTGGGTTGTCACTGGAAAGGGGTGAGAGATTCTTTGCTGTATATTGGGTTGAGTGGGCCTGTGACAAAGTGATATGAGGTTAGAAAAAATAAATTGGGAGGATAAGATGTTAGAGTATTAAAATGGTGGGGTATTAGTCTTCCCAAACTTGATTGTGAAAGACTGAGAGTGTGTTGGAAAACTCAAAGTGAGATTTTTTTTAAAAAATTATTGTTTGAGTGAGGTGTTGGAAGCAGTGAAGAAAATTTGGACCAAATCATGTCTAAAGACATTGTTTTCAAGAGTTATCCTATCACAAAAATCTTGTCCAAAGATATGTATAGGTGTTTGGATATATTATTATGAAAAAATTAACCATTTGATTCTTATAGTTTTAATTTAATTGTAACTCAGCTCTTGAACTTTGACTCGTTATAACTCAGTTTCTAAAGTGTTGACTCGGTTGTAAATCAGTTCCTAAACTTAGCCTTTTGCAATTTAGTCCTTAAAATTTTAACATCTTAAATATTGGTCTCTATATTTTAAAAAATAAAATTATAAAGATTAAAAATATTTTAAAATTTATTACTAATATTTTCAATTATTAAAACCTTTTAGTATTTATAAATATTATAAATTTTAAAATTTTAAAATATTTTTAATCTTTATAATTTTAAAATATAGGAACCAATATTTAAGAGGTTAAAACTTCAGGGACTAAATTACAAGAGCCAAAGTTTAGGAACTAATTTATAACTGAGTCAAAACTTTAGAGATTGAGTTATAACAAGCCAAAGTTCAGGAACTGAGTTGCAACAAGATCAAAACTACAAGGACCAAATGATTAATTTTTTTATTATTTTCAAAAAACCATGATTTTACATTATTTTTAATTCTACTTTTCAATTATGCTGAAAATTAATCTTATTAAACATTTTTATAATTATAAATCAATTATACCACATAACATAATCAATTATATTCAAAATTAATTATATTAATTTTATAACTAATTTTTTTAATGTATATCTAAATGGGTCAAGTTTCAGGCACTGATACCCTCAACCATTGTTTCAAATGGACTGAATTGGATGGTCAAATCATCGATCATAATGTTAACAACTCTATTTGTGTTAAAAATTGAGTGGGGATAGCACCAAATAATTGGTGTAGGCTTGGACAAGGAAGGAAGGACTAAAGAGAAAGAAACTTTTTATTGTTGCTTCTAGCAATAATTTACACACTCCCTTCTTAACTTTTCAACACACCCATTACACTATAACTCTCCTCTCTTATCACTCTGCACACACTCTTTTCTCACGCACACCTCACCCTTCACACACACTCTCACTTGCTTTCTCTCTTTGTTGCTCACACTTTCTGGTCACCCACATACTCAACCAGAGCTCCTTATTTATACTACTTGAAAGTCCTCAGCCTTCTTGGACATTCCATTTTCACTGCCATAAATATTAAAATATTAGTATCTAGAATGATCTCTTCATCGCCTATGCTTTGTTTCTTCTATATCCAGAAAAATCTTTCACTGCCATTTCTGCTGCAAGGAGAGGATCTAGATTTTTGTTGAAATTCTTTAGCTTCTAGAATAAAAAAATCTAGATGAGGGAGAAGGAGAGTTGGTGAACTATTTTAATAGTTTGGATCAAAAAATTATCTTCATGATTGAGTTAAATTGAATCAGAGTTGAACTGCTATCAAGCTAGAAATTGAAGTTAAATCGGGAACTAGATTGATTTTCAAAAAACCAAACAGTTTTAAACATAATATTAAAAAAAGCTTAAAAATTTTAAAAAAGACTAGAAAAATTTAAAAATTAGATTCCTACTCAAAAGTAACTTTATTTTTGGATAATTCTCATGTATAAAATATGAAATATGATTTGAGACCATTTTTTTTCTAATGATGTTGATAATTATAGGTGCAAATGTAAATATTTTTGAGTTTATTCATATTTAATTTAACCAATTCACCTATATTTGACAAGTTATAAAATTATAATTTACAATATTGTTAATTCATGGTCATGTTATGTCATTTTATTAACAACTAGGCATACTGTAGATTTGTTTCTTATATTTATTATATATATAATATTATTTTTATTTAATTATTATATCATTGATCCAACTACTGGTCTAAACGATTAGACCTTAAAAATCAAGAACTATTGATTTTTCTGGTCCAACGTCCTGTCTGGCTTTTAAAACATTTTCCCTAACTTTTAAATGTCCATCTAATACCCTATCCTCCCAATTTTATTTTTTCTAACATCATGCTTCTTCCTTTTGATATTATAAGATATTTTTCCAAAAATATCCTTATTAATCAATAAGAGGTGTAATTAATAAGGTTTTCTATTTGAGACACCTTATTTAATAAGGACAAAAATGAAAAGAATATATAATTTTTAAATAAAATTAACTAGCTCATTAAAAGTGTAATTTTGTTAGAAGTGCCCTATAATATTGAATAAATAGAAGTTTAATTTATTGCAATGGAATTTGGGGACGACAAATGGAGTCTCAAATATTTGGGATGGTTCGTACAACCAATTTATCTATTCTACCCCAAAAATATTTGGGAAGGATGTTTGGGACGGAATATTCCTTCACAATATATTCTATGCCAAAGACGTGACAAATTTGTCGCAAAATATTTGATAATATATATATTTACATATTTTTGTTATTATTATTTTTATAATAAATATGATATTGGGTCTATTATAATAAATATTCCTTCAAAATATTTGTCTCACTTATATTAGGAAGACTATTATTAGCCACTGGGGGTGCCTTAATTAATGTGCCTAAAGGAGAATTAATATTCAAAGTAGGTGAGAAAAAAGAGATATTTAAATTTACTAAAGCTATCAATCTCCTTATTTTTGAGAAATCTTTATTCAGCATACATGTGACACAGGAAGAAGAGAAACATCCAAAGGACCCTTTCTTACATACTTTAGAAAATAAAGAGTAGGAAATTAGCAAAGGAGAAGGGAGGGAGCTATAAAAGCATTCTAAAGATCTACCCACTAGTCCTCACAAAAATTCAAGCACTCGTATATTGGAGTCAAATTAAAAAGTCCCTTGCTTATTGATAAGAACCCTCTCTAAGAGGAGGGTGAATGTTAGTTGGGATAGAAATGTGACTTTTGATCTAGGAGGACAAATATTTCTACCATACTTAGAAGGCATATCTTGATTTTGTAGTAATGTCTATCTATAGACATTAAATGTAGCGCTTGTTGGGAGACAATCCAAAAATTCAAAGTTTTGAAAGAATATGAACCAGAAACAATGAAACTTTGAATTATTTAAGTAAAACTTAGAAAGTTTGAACGAAATAGTACGAGAGAAAAAATTAAATAAATCCAAAAACAACTCAGAAGGTGTTGAAGTTCAAGACAGAAAACTTTGAAGTTTTGGAGCATAACTTTGAATTTTTTAAGAAGTTTGACATAAGGAGATTAATATTTTTAAAGCTATCAAACTTATTCCCTTACCCTATTTCTGAGCCCATAAATCCTGGTAAATATAAAATTTTCTCTAACTTTGTCGTAATCAAGGCTAAAAAAATATATTTCTACTTTTTTATCTCACATGCAAGTTGTATTTTTATTTCATTATTTTTTATTGTGTTTAATGGGCCATTTAAATTAGTGATGATATTTAACAGAAGGATCATACATTAGAACACAAAAAAGATGTACTTGCTCTCTTATTTAGGTATGGTCAAGCATAGAGTAGAAATTTGATTAGGACTGGAGGGAGTAGATTTTATTAAGGACCAGGCGATAAGTAGGGTAAGAGTATTGTACATTAGGACTCACAAACAAACAAAGCCATGTGCGAATATAAATACGAAGAGCTCTCATGTTATACGCACAAAGACGATGTATTTAAGAGAGGCATGTGGATTCTTAGTCACAATATGGTTCATAGATGAGAAGAGATTTCTTAGCCACTACTCTACTTATTCCTTTCTAGTTAGATCATTGAATTATTTATGGGAGAGAACCCACACAACGTTGTCTTCAGAAAGGAAGTGACACACAGAAACACTCCCCGGCTTCACCTTTAGCACTTGGAAGGCCAAATGCTTCGGGTTCCACTCTGATGTGTCTCTGTGACAGAGAGACAGTGCTTTCACTTTACTCCCATCAGCCCCTGCCAAAGGCACCCTATAGGCAATTGTGGTCTCCGTTTCGTGACAATAAAACAAAGCATAGACGTAGTTGAGCTTGTGGCACACCACCACCTTTGCCTCTCCTAACCTTTTCGCTCCTTGCTTTATTGTGTATTCTTGGTTCTTTGTCTCCTTCATCATCATCTCTGTAGACAAAGCTTCCACATTCTTCCCAAGCTTCAAAGTGATGAAATCAACCATGGATTCCAACGACGTCGCACAGTATTTCTCCTCTCCTTTAACCCCTGGCTTCTCACACAATTCTATTGTTTCCTTCAAAACCTTGGCTTCTGTTGATCCAGGCTTCACAGCAAACTCTTTTAATATCTGAGACATCTGCTACAAATGAATCGTATAATTACATCAATTACATGTGCGATGAAGATTCACCCAGACTCGTGGTTTAATAATGAATCCTTCGTATTATACGCACGTACCTTGCTTGAAGAAAAGGGAACAGATTTGACCACTTCACGAGGCAGCAAGGAGGACTGGTTGGAGGTTTGCATGAAGTGGATGTTCATCTTGTGACCAGGCTTCATGTCCTCTTCCAAGAAGAAGAGAGTTGTGTTTGGGATATTATGGAGTTCTTCGTTGTCGGAGTTAGCAGCATAAATGTAATTTGGCTGGCGAAGAGTACTGTTACCTCTAACATGGATGGTTATGTCACCCCCTGGCTTACCAACAATAAGTTAAAGCACTTATTAAAGGAACGTAATGAATAATTATAAAATTCATCCTGCATACAAGCCATGAATAACCAAGTCCCAAAATATGCTAATAGTAACCTGCTGGGTGGAGGAGCTCTGTGATGAATTTAGGCATGGAAGTGGCGGGAAGCATGGACTTCCAATAAAGTTCAGGAGGTAAAGCAGCATGTGTTGCCCCCAGTGCAACCTGAAATTATTGCATTTGTAACATATCGATATGTAGTAAAATAAGTTTAATAGGACCCAAAAAGATGATAACAGGAAAGGATTAGTAGGAGTAAAAACTTCATTATTGGAGAAATTGCAAGTGAAATGGATCGATGATAATAAAGAGGAACTGCGAGGAAGCATATAAAGAGGGGGAAATGCTCATTAGATGGAATTCCAGCCTGGATGTCAATTCGGCCATGTTCAAAAATATCCTGACGATTTGGATAGCATCGATCATATATGAATGGTCTACAATTTTTAAAAATAGAAATATTATTTGACTGATAATATTTAAATCATTCAGCTAGATATTTTCCCCAGGATCAACATGTGTATGCATTTTTTTTTTTGTTTATGAAAACACGAAATCAATATTTCATGATGAAAAAGAATAAGCAAAAATATTTATAAAAAGTATTTAAGAAATAAAAGAGTTTACTAATATATCATAAAATAATATTTATTAATTATTAATATTTTCATATTGAATGTTGGTTAAAATTCATCTATACATGAAAAAATATTTAAAAGAAATCCCATAAATTATAAATAATGTGAGAAATTTTTTAATTTATGGGGAGCCACATAAATAATAAATCATAAAAGGGTTCCTTTCAAATTGCAAGAAACTTTTTTTAAATAAAATTTGCGCTACAACTTCTTCTCAACTACTCACAATAGGTTTCGGCCGCGACAAGAGAGAAGGTGAGGACCGGTGAATCATATTTTGGGCTACCCTTTGGGCCCCACCCTGACGAAATACTTGGACTCCATGGTGTGGTTCCAAAGTTTGTGGACCATCTTACATAGTATATTCTTAGTACAAGTCGATTAAGACCCAAAAGAGAAAAAGAATTGCAATACTACTTCAAGGGGTTAAAGTTTATTTTTACATTCGAATTGCACAACCATTCAGGATCCTAAACTTGAATTTGGCACAATGTTAATTTATCCCTTACCGTTAAATGGTAGCTAACTCCGTTACTTCATCCCTATTTTTCATTTTTAAAATAGAGGACTTAAACTTATCAAAAAATTTAAGTGGATTATATCATCACCTTTATAAGAGGGAGTGATATATATACGCCTCTAGACTGATTTATATTGGAACAACTAAGAGCTTGGATTGTTGGTAGAGTAAGTGGTGAAAAATCTCAAGTGTAACTTAGGGAATGGACATGGCCTCAAGTGATTGAAGTTTAACAAGGATAAACACTTGTGCAAGCTTCTCTCTCTCTCTTAATTTTTTGGTGATATTGTTTCTTCTCTATCTCATTTAATTCACTCATTGTCTATCAAAATTTAAATTTTTCCAATTTACCCCTTCTTAGGCCTTTTACCCACCAAACCATCATTGCCGCATCACCCAATGGATCAGTGTCACTTCACCATTGCTGAATCACCCAGTGGACCAGTGCTGCCTCACTAACACGTCATGGCCACGTCATATATTATTACTTTTAATTGTGTCTTAGCCAAGTTTGAATTCACAATCCCACACTTTCTAGTGCCTTTGTTTTATCTTATTGCTAGTTGAGTTGAAAGGAACCTTCGGTCTTAATCAATAAATTAAATATATAATATTTAACTACATAAACATGTTAATAAATAAATTATTTAAATTTACTCATTTATTTAAAATTAAATTTATTTATATGGTAAAATTTATTTATATATAATAATTATTTCTATTATATTTTATTTATTAAATTAATTTTTATAAGTAATTTGATATTAAATTGAAAAATATTTTATTATCATTATATATTATATTATCATTCATATCTATATAATATATAATATATAATATTTTTATTTTTAAATTCTTTCTTTAATATTATTTTTATTTTTTAAATAAAAATAATTAAGTATACAATTTAAATTATTATTATTAATAATATATGAATAATTTAAAATAATAAAATGTTTAAATCATAACAAGAAATTATTCAATAAATTATATAAACATATATTATAAATAATAAATAAAATTAAAAATAGTTTGCAATGGAGTTATGAGAGAAATATTTGTGGCAAAATTTTCTATAGCAAATTCTGTCAAAAAAATAGAATAAGGTATCCTAAAAATAAGTGATGGGATTTTTTGTCATCAAATTCTATCACTTAATTATTTATGATGAATTAGTGATGGAATAATAGAATCTTAGCAATGAAATGTTCCGTTGCTAAATTCTATTGCTAATTTAGTGATGGATTAGCAGCAAATTATCATTAGCTTTTGGATTTTTTTTTGTTTATAAAAAATAAAAACAATTTTTCAAAACAGGAACCAAACAGGTACTAAAATAGACAGGTCCCTGTATCCCTTACAAATGCATAATGCAAATAAGCAAATCCTAGGATTTGAATTCCCTCATTTGCTATTAAGAGAACTTCCACGTGAAAGCACACTAGTATGTTGTTATCCTATTAGAGCATTTTTGTGAGAAACGTTCCGGTCTATGTGTTAATTGTAAATTTATGTGCACCTATACTGTAGCACTTTATCATGGATGCACTCCGGCAGGAAAGACCTATGGGAGTGCTTCTTATAGGGAGCACATTTTTTAGGAAGCACTCCCATAAGTTTCACCTCTAATTCTAAGAACGTTTTTCTGTGTGCTTTGACAAGGATGTTCTTATAGTTGTGCTAAATTATTTGATTATTATTGATACTTTGTATTATTATTCTACTAAAATCATTGATTAGTTTCCCTATCATTTGAAAATTGGGAGGAAACAAATGGGAGAAAATCTATGAAAAAATTATATCAATAAATATTTGGAATGGAATTTTTTTTAATTTGGTAAATTGAAGTGTTAATTACAATAGCCACTTGACTCAAGTGGCAAGGATGAGTTAGGTATAAGTAGATGTCAAGGACTCAAGGTGTCAAGCACACACGGTATATAATGAAAAGAAAGTATCATTAATAGCACGTCAAATTTTTATTATAGCTTGATTTGCAAGAAAAAAGATTATTGCAAATTTTATGGCCAAAAGATATGGTAAATAAATCTTAATATTTCTCATAATCTCTCCTCAGTTGAAAGTATATAACGGTATTAGATTTTCATAAAACTTAAGATAAATCATATTATTTTTGCCATATGAATAGTATTAATATATTTGTTTAGACTTTATATTTTATTTAGATAAATAATAATTTGTTGAGGTGTTGCATATTTTTCAAACAATTTTCAATTAAAATTTATTTCATTTTATTATTATTTATTAATTGTACAGAAACCTACACTTTACTTAATAACTTAAGTTCGCAATCATTTTACTCCTTAATATAGATGTTCCTTATACATCTATTTATGCCATCATATTCATAAAAATTATCAAAACGATGTTTGGTATAAATGAAATATGAATGAAAAATTATGTTTGTACTCCTAACAAAAAATAATAAAATAAAAAATGATTATGATTATGATGGATACTGCATAAATTAACTACTCGTTTTTATGCATTAATCATCGATGCATTGGTATTTTTTATGACGGCGATAGAGCAAGCATTATATGAAGCTTCCTTGGTTTTAAAAGCAATGTGCTGTTGATGTCATCTTAGATATAATGACCAAAGATTTTATGTGAACTTTAAAACATATATAAACAAAATATTCTCATAAAATACTCTAACCTCCCCTCTATTTTACCTTTATTACATGTACCTTTTTCAATTTTTGAAACATATACAAACCTCCCCTGGTATAAATTATAGTTACAAAATATAAACATTCCTTCTATTGTTAAGTTTTCATTTCCATCCACTCAACTATTAGTTAACTATTAAATTATATATATTGGACCAAAATACATTTTATTAAAATTAAATGTTGTCTAAAATTAATCATATTACCCAGAAAAATTATGAATATTTTTATTTTAATTTATATTTTATATTTTTTGTTTTGTATACGTATTTATTAAAAACAGAATGAAAAAAATTAATAGAATAAGGATTTTTTGGCTAGAAATAAAATAATTATTTAATATAATATATTGCTCAAGTTTTTGGCCAAATAATAAATTTCTTAATAGAACTTATATTTATTTTGAAAAAAATTTCATTAATTTTAACATAAAATTTTAAAGTTATTTATTTTAATATTTATATAATTTCTTCATTAAAAAATGTGAGGTATTTTTAATCGAATCTCTCCAATTAATAAAATAGTTACTTGTTTTCTAACAAACTCTATCTTTCTATATTTACCTCTATTTGATATTTCATCGTAAAATAAATATAAAGTAATTTATTAATAGGGACACTTTTGAAAAAAAAAAGTAACTATTACACCTTAAAAGACTAAAAATATCTTATATTTTTTTAATATCTAACTCATCAAAAAAATACTTTATACTTTTTAATGGAAGAAGTACTTAATTATTTTAAGTTCTTAAAATTAGGGGAGAGAGTAGACAAATAAATTATAAGAGAAAATTAATAATTTAAAATTTTTAATATAATTACAGATAAAAAAATTTAGTGTTTTAGAATTTTTAATGAAATATTCCTAACTTGTTAACAATTGGACTAAAGTATAGATTTCAAAAATAAAGGAAAGGTCTCTGTAATGTTAGCAAAATAAAAGGAAGGTCATTGTATTTTACTCTTTTTTAACAAAATTTGAATATATATTTTAAAAGTTTACATCTCACACAACATAAATATTCTATAAAATTTGAATATATATATATATATCTCTATTAATCTTTTGTTCAAATTTATCAATATTATAAAACGAGACACTAAAAATCTGTATAGTCACCCAAGTCTTATGAAATTATTAAATGTCTACTACGAAGTCTAGTTTTTCTATATTTGATTTACAATCACGCCAAAGCTTGCTTGATGACTAAGTATAATCCTTATCAATCAATAAATCGAGAAAATTGAATTATTATCTTGTACGATTACTGTCCAACATTGATGACAAATTTAAAAAAGAAATGGGAGAATTTTATTAAAGACCATTGGATGTGACATAATTTCAATCAGGTTTCAAAAAATTCTAAAATTTCATTGTTGGCCCAGAGCACTAAAATGAAATAAATTCTCTTGATTAAATGACCAAAATGCTC